TCCCTACAAAGCAGAGCGCGATAACTTTACTTGCTCCCATGTGTATGCTAACACAAGGCAGTACACTTATTTATTGTTACACGGGTTGATTCTTGATAGGGCTGTGAGGCTATCAAATGAAGCTTAACGTTCATAAATGGTAATTCATCCTTCACGTCTGTCATATAAGACACTGCTGAAAAGAAATCATTCTTCTCTGAAGATTTCAAATGACATTTTCAGTGTCGATGGATAGTACTTATATGAATGTTTGCAAAGTGAGGAAAAGATAATAAAAGTTGACTTCTGGTTTTACATTTGGAACTCCTAGAGCTCACGACATTCATGTAACCAGTATAATTTGCTTTTCCAAAATAAGTAACGCTAGTGAAAAACCCTGCGTGGTAACTATAATGCAGAGGGTAGATATATTCATGTTTCTGCAAAGCACAGAAAACGTGTTATATTTGACAAAAACATTCAAAACAAACGGTTGATTCCTTACCTGTTTTCACCCCATACAAAAGGTAGATGAACACAACACACAGCTTCAGCATATAGACTCCCACATGGAACTTCTGCAGGTAAAAGATTTTAAGGATCCCACAATTTCTTTGGCATGTGTCTGCTGTCTCTGACAACAGCTTGCTTTTTTTTTTTTGCTGCCAGTAACAGTAGGTGTGGTAAAAGGAGGAAGTTACCAGCCAAGAAATGAAGACCAGTCTTTAGTTATACAACTAAAGCTGTTTCTTAAAAAGGTGGGGCACCTTCTATTCTACCAGGTTTCTGTATTTTAAATATAGTTTGCCCTGGGGAGTGGCTAATCAGACACAGATGTTTTGGTATCACACTGTAAGCTGCAATTTGACTACATGTGTTGAAACTAAGGAAATTATTGCACGTCTATTTGTCTTTTGCAAAGAATGTCAAAAGGCAGCAAAGAATGTAGGTGTCACTGCAAGTCCGATAAGCATCTGGGCAGGCCAGCACTTGATTTCACAGGGCCCTAAGCTGGTAGCATTCATGACGATCCCTCCTCTCCCACGTCCCTCTGGCTCTCCTGAGCCCTGTGGCCCAGCATCATTTATAACCTACGAGACCCTGTCGTCTTGGGCAGGGGGCAGATGCACAGGACTGTGTTGTGACAAAGGGAAGGTACTGGTGTGAGTCAATCTGGGTCTTGATTGAGCCTCAAACTGGGCTGCCAAGCAACTGCTGTCTTGGATGACACTTGTACATCTGGTATTCTCCACCACATTTCCTGGCAGACCTGCTGGAACCTCATGAATCCAGCTCTAAATCAAGCAAGAAAGGCTTTTTTTTGTTTGTTTGTTTTCACTGCTGGACAGGAGGAAGATCGTAGATGCAAAGAGAGCTGTCAGGGGCAGGAAAGGAAATTGGAGCTGGAAGATCCTAGTGGCAAAATTGGAAAGATGAGAGTGGTGGGGAGTTTGTAAAGGGGTGAGAAAGGGGAGGGGAAGGGAAGAGAGAACAGGGATGGCTGCTGGGTAGAAGCTGTGTGGGAGCTTTGCCTAATGTTTTCTTTGCAGATTTTTTTAACGTAGGCCAGGGAAAGGGAACATGGGGAGGATCAGAAACACCTCATTAAGCACGGGCTCTGGTTTTTCCCCGTGGTAATGACCCAATGAGGAGCTGAACTATTACGGTTCCCAGTTGCATAGCTGTTTCTTTGCTCTATGCTGTACATACTAAACTCTTTGACTTTGCTAATTCTTGGGTTAATCCTTAACTCTGCCTGCTGGCTGTCTGCAGCTCCTTCTTGTTCAGACAAGTGCATGCTGCTTGTCTGGTGCAGGCATGGCTTACACCTCAGACAGAGGAGCACACCCAGCAACACACAGGATCTTTTCACAAGCATCTTGAGTTCTCCATCCTCATGCAGCTCAACAGAGTCTTCCAGGACATGGGCTGTGCTGTGATTCCCTTTGGTAATCACGCAGACAAAAGTTGTTTTTTGTTATTTTGAAGAGGATAAACATTGAGAAAAAAACACCAAAAAAACCCTTCTGTGGAGTCTGGAAGCTGCAAGCTCCAGGAAAATCTTTTTCTGATGCACTGGCAAAAGAAAATAATGTGAAACATTGTTTTCCTTCCAGTTCCTTTCTCACCTCTACCAGTAATCCTAAACTCTGTCAAAATATTTTCTTCTTAGCAAGTTCTGCCAATGGTGTGAAGGAATCGGTCCAACAGTGAAACATGCAAGATGAACAGAAGGCTTTTACCTATTGCAAATGACGTTTGAGAATCAGAGATAAAATGAGATAAAAAAATCAAGAGGGCCTTGCCTTTCTTCTCAGCACAGAAAGAGGTAACAATTTCTTGCCTGAAGCTAAGCCCCACTTGTTTCTTTTCCCCATCCCCCATAAGATTGCCATTTCCCATCTGAGAGCGCTCATCCAAGTGGCCATCAGTTCAACGGGTGGTACACTGGACTGGCAGGCTCTTCCTTGTAACTCTCAATCATCCCCCAAAAGACTGAGTTAACCAGCATTTTAGCATAAATTAGCCTGTTTACAGTACACGTATTGGCAAACATACCCAGGACAGTGTCAGCACTGGAAGCGCTACCCACCACTGCTATCAAATCCTGAGATGAGGAGTTCAAACAACCGCCTGGGTGTACAGATTGCTTCCAGCTCTTGAATCCTGTTGACCAATCTTTCACACCTGCCCCATGCACCCTTCCTCAACCACACACTAGTTAAGATGGTAAAAACTGACTTACGGCTATTTGTTTTTTGTACCCTGAACTCTAACCACAGAATACACAGGAATACTTCTTGGGCCTTCAGAGTTGGAAATGATCCCATCATGAGCTCTGAAATCAATAACAACTTGAGACAATTAAAACTATTTCTTTTATCACATGTAGAAAACATTTAAGATCAGAATTGGCACCAACTTAATTTAACAGAAGATATGAAATAACTTTACATAAGAGAAACATTCTGATACTAGCTCTGAGGTGTCAGCCGTTGTTATTTCACACTCAAAGAAGCATTTTAAACTGCATTTGGTCGCTGTGAGTAGAACCACGTTTTGAATCTGAGCCTTTTTCAGAAATGTTGTTTCCTCAGAGAAGCTTATGACAGCGATGGTTGGATGAAAAAAATTTTTATTCCTGCATCCACTGCATGAAATCTCACCGGTTCACTAGTTTCCTGTGGGTGGAACGTTTTCATGGAGATACTGGAGAGCCAAATCTGTCCACTTCATTTCTTGCTCTTTCACAGACTCAGTTGTGCCACCATTGTCTTGCTCTGGTTCAGGAAGCTCATTCTGAGAACAAAACAGAGGTACAATGCATTCCCCACAAAATACGCTTCCTGAAAGGAGCGGGTTACTGAGATTTCATATGGATAAATACAAAAATCCACAAATGAGACCAGAGGGTGCATCTGAACAATACCTATCATACATACTGATCCACTTAAAAATATTACTAAGACCAGTTATGAACAGTATTCTTTTCACATGAATGTGGTGCTTAATCTGAAAGATAAATTGGGTTTCCAGGACCCTGGGGCCTTGCTGTACACTCTGACTGCATGCATAGTGAAGAAGGAGAATATATAGCAAATGCAAAATAAGTAAATGATAGTACAACGCAATTATTCCATTGCTTGTTTGCAATGCGTTTCTCTTGCTGTTGCCAAGATATTGCATTTATTACAGCTGTTAAGACAACTGCAGCATGTTACTTTCCTATGGCAGGTGAGAAATCCTTCCACTTTCTACATGCTGAACACAGGTGTGGCTGTGCTATATCAGCAGGAGAAGTCAGAAACCCCTACCAGGTGCAACACAGAGCTGCTCATGACACAGTAAGGAGGAAGTATGGTCTAACCGAGATTTCATTTTCCTTATATTGTATATTATTTTTTCCTTCCTTATATTATTTGTTCTCTGTGTTGCTGTAGTGGTGCAGTCACACAGAGTGCACGTTATTCTGCCAGATACCATTTGGGCAAGAATTCCAAGTTCTACATCTCTGGAAATCCCAGCATGAGTGAAATAAAATTTTTCAGTTTTGAAAACAGCGTATGATTTGAGCCTATTTGAATTCACAGGAATCTCTGGAGTGAGCGCTGCATCAGATGCTCAGGACAGGCTTAAATACCACTTTACAGCTGTGCTGTTTGCTCCTTTACAATGCCACTGAGTAAGTCTCCTGTGAATTTGTGCTGGTTTTTCTATGTGATCAGAGCCAATTCCAGCCCTGGGGTTCTTTATAGACACAGTCAGGCCTGCCTTTCTATTGTTAGTTGATGAGCCTTCCTGCTCTGAGGCTGCCATCTCTGTGTGACTGTAAGCAGCTCAAGGGATGGCTGTAAGGAAAGAAACAGTAATGTTTGGACACAGGGTAAAGGCAAATGTCAGCAAGGAACTAGTTTATAATATTTGGCCTGCCTAATAAAGGTTATCCCAAGCAAAGGGAGGTTTGGACTCTGGTATCTGAGAATCGCAGTTCTGCAAGATCATTCCCGCCAGCTCAAATCTTGGCAGGAAAACGTGTGTGCCGTATATATGGATTTTGGATATACGTATATATGCTGTTCCTTGTCCTCTCTGAAAAGACAGTGGTGTAAGGGGTAAAGCTTAAGCAATGTCACTGGCAATCTGGAAATGTCTGTGTGCTAAAAGAAACTAGCAGCGTATCAGTCCCCACGATCTTAGCATGACTGCTTTGTCAGTGCTAGCCAGGGTAAAGCTTGTGTCCCAGAGAGAACAAGGAAAAGGAAAATCTTCAGATACCTCTCGCTTTCCTAGTATCTTCCAAATGGGTAAGGAAGGCATCAGTGGGGGACATCTGAAGCCTCAACTCTGGGATATGTGGGATCAGAGGTAGCTTTTCCCCAGCGGCACCCCTCTGGCGTCTTATCTGTAGGACAAGCTGTACACTGATGAAAAGATAGCTGCCATGCGTTGGATGCCGTGCTACAAGCCAGAGTCCCACTGCAGATGCCAGTTCATGCCCTACTGTCCTTGAACCAGCATCGGCAACACTGTATCTGGAAAAGACTGATTAGGAAGACACTTCAAAAATTTTCAGCTTCTTTTAATGAAATTTCAGAAAGTGGAAATAAAATGTAACCAAGACTGCAACTGTCAGTGTGAGAGTGATCCTCTCTGTTCTACAAGTGAACTGGGAAACCACTTCAAACACTAGTAATGTGAAGGAGAAGCACAGAGAAAGGACGATTCTGCTTCTCCCCGATGCCAAACCCAGAACTGTGCGACAGGAAGGGCACTCCAGTTCCGAGGAGATTCGGCAACTGGTCAGGGGAAGGGGGAGAGAAACATCCACACCCTTGTCTGCACACGGGAATGTCTGGCATATAGGACAGAAAAAGACTGAGTCAGATCCAACCCAGGAACCTTTTGTACAAATTAGCTGCACCACAAGCGACACTGTCTGTGCTGTTTCTTGGAAAGGGCTGTGATAAACACACCAGTCTTAACTCAGATTGATAAGAAGCAATTCACCTACCAGAGGGATAGCCACATCCTCGTACGGCAATTTATCTTCCCTCCATGCATCATCGATCAAATCCAGGATTCTGCCATCCCTTTGCACTTCGCTGTCCATCGCTCTAGCAGGCGAGTACCGCTAAATCTGTGACACAAAGCAGATACTGTTTCTAATGTCTGTGTCCCCAACCATGTGGATGGAGTTTGGACCAGTTTTGATTTGCTTCAGCTTGCTCCAGTTTTGATCCGATTTCTATTAAGCTTAAAACTTTTAAGGAAAACCTTGATTTTCCTGATCCACGCAAAAAGGACTTATAACCATAAGAACTACTTCAGAACTACTTCATCTGAAAAGAACACCATCAAACTGCATTGCAGATTGATCTGTATCAGAGATGAATATATAAAACTAGCCTGTTACTATTCATTATAGAGATTTACATGTGTTTATAGCTACTGACCTTTAGAAGTTCCTTCTGAGTGAGTGTGAGAGCCTACAGCTCCCCCATCCCCTCTAACCCTGCACAGAACCGTTGCTTATGGTTTGCTGCCTACTTGTTTTCAGTGCCGCAACTCACCCACACCTCAGCCCATCTGGGAAAGTCAGAACAGAGGCTTTCATGGCACACAGAATGCTGCCAAAAACCCGAAGTCATAGAATCACAGAATCATTAAGGTTGGAAAGGACCTCTAAGACCATCAAGTCCAACCATCAACCCAACACCCCCATGCCCACTAAACCATGTCCCGAAGTGCCACGTCCACACGTTTTTTGAACACTTCCAGTGATGGTGACTCCACCACCTCCCTGGGCAGCCTGTGCCAATGCTTCACCACTCCATAAAGAAATTTTTCCTAATATCCAGTCTAAAACTCCACCAGTGCAACCTCAGGCCATTTCCTCTCTTGTCCTATCACTAGTTACTTGGGAGAAGAGACCAACCCCCACCTCACCACAACCCCCTTTCAGGTAGCTGTAGAGAGCGATGAGGGCTCCCCTCAGCCTCCTCTTCTCCAGACTGAACCCCAGTTCCCTCAGCCACTCCCCATAAGACTTGTGCTCCAGACCCCTCCCCAGCTCCGTTGCCCTTCTCTGGACACGCTCCAGCACCTCAACGTCCTTCTTGGAGTGAGGGGCCCAACACTGAACACAGGATTCGAGGTGCGGCCTCACCAGCGCTGAGTACAGGGGCACGATGGCTGCCCTGCTCCTGCCGGCCACACTATTGCTGGCCGAGCCCGGGACGCTGTTGGCCTTCCCCAGGAATTGCGGCTCCTATCGCTTCCGGGTCGCTAAGCCCAAGTCGAGGAAACCGGTAAAACAGGAGGACAGTAATACCCGTCTTCCACCCTCGGTTACTGTCATCATTCCAGGGGTTTCTCGTGATGGCTTGATGAGCGCTCTGCCCTCCTTGCAATGTCACGTGGGGCTCGCCCCTCGGTGACTCGCGGCTCGGCGGTGCCGAGGCTGGAGG